GCCTCCTCTATTAATTAATTTTCTAGATAAGAATTTGTCGTATTCCTCGTTTTATACTGACTTCTGTAGTTCTACTTCTTCTTCGGTTTTTAGGGTACAATACAGACTTCTTAAGCTTCTTATGTCTTCAAATTTTCGGAGTATGCATATATTTTTTTCCATTAAAACCATTGTTACATTATATAAATATTTAATTTGATTTTAAAAAAAACATCTGGAGTAATTCTTTTTATAGATAGCATATATTAGTAAAAAAACAAAATTCAAAAAATGGGTGAAATTTTGAATAACACAAATTTCACGTTCCTTTTGCCATGAAGTGCACAATATAATAAGGAGAGAGTTGTGCTAATTTAACCAATGGCCTTAAGTTTAAACTTTTGTTAAATAGTCCTTGCGAGATCTTTGTTACTTGTGTGGCCATTTCAATTCAATTCAAATTAGCTGAAATTTAATTTAACTTTTAAGCATGCTAAGTTGTTTGATAAATAAATAAATATTCCATTTTTTTTGTAAGAAAATTTTAGGAAAGGGGTTAGGCTCATCCACGATCCAAAGACAGGACACCTAACGCTTGATCTACTGGGACCTGTCTCTACAGGCACGGGAGCATGACAAACAAGCCCTTTTTTTTTTCTGGCCTAATAGGTAGGAATCTCCCAGCTTTACTATGATGTGGTGATGCCTCCCCCAGCACTGCGACTAGAGCCACAACAAAGTGACACTCTCTAGGATCGAATTCCCTCCCTTTGGTGAGAGTCCAACCCCTTCACTGGCTGAACCCACAGACGAGGGGTATAAATATTTCATTTAATCCTGAATGTATGAGTTAACTGAGATATTTTGATCCTAGATGTAAAATTGGAAATTCACCATCTCCTTTACCTCCTAAAGTAGGGCGACAATGGTCAAATGTAAATGATTAAGAGAAGAGACAATAGTTTAGAAAGATTATTACATATTTTTTTTACAAATTAAAGAACTTACTTAAAATTTTAATCTAGCTATGAGAATTATTTAATTAATTTTTTTAAAAATAGGATAGTGAGAATTGATGAGAATGGTGAATGGGGGTGTTTTTTCACAGCTGGGGAAGTACAATAATGCGCATCACTTAGGGCATAAAAGTATATTTAAGATTAAGATTAGATTTGGTCCCAAAATGACCACACCCATCATTTTGTGCGTACGGACAACTAAATCTAATAACCCTTTAATTAATCAAATCATAAAAACCGCTTTATGTAATCTTAATTAAGCATCATCATTATTAGACTTTATTAAGACCCCCCACCCAAAAATATCATCTTCTTTTTTCAAAAGTTGAGTGCATTATTGGATGCTCTGAGCTGCATTTGGGTGGAGGTAGGGGAAAAGACGCTTTTACAGTTTTGCTCCCCCACCCCTTTCAGGTTTACACTCCTATTTACGCATATATCCTTCCATCCTCTCAAAATTACCACTCTACCCCACCCCCAATATAGGTAAGGGTTATTTACGGTGATCCAAAATTTACAATGAAATGAAATATCTTCAAATAAACATTTCGACATTATTATGAGTAATCAGTCTTTTATTGATTGGTACTCCTCTGATCATATTTATAAGGCACTTTCAGCATATTTCACATAGATTAAGAAAAACCTCAAACTTCATTAACTCTCATTTAAAATTTAATAACTTTTCAACTTTATCCATATTTAATATACATTATACCTTATATAAACAAAGTCAACACAATAATAAATAAGGGGTAAAATTATACATTTATACAAATAATTTCTCTCAGTACCCTATAAATAGGACCAAAAAATATTTTCTCTCTCTGTCTTATAAATAGGACCAGGGGAGTATGAATGAAAGGATTGAGAAAAATAAGGTTTGTGCATTATGCTAACGGGTTATTTTGGTCTTTCTTTCCTCCATTTCCATACCTCAATCTTATAATAATTTATATCCTACCAACCTTTATTTAGACAAATATTTTCTATTCTTTTCTGTACATATATCAAACGTTATTTTTATACATATTTTTTTATTTTTTTTCATTCCACTATCTTTTTTTCTAGAAAACAATAAATATTCTCGATCACTTACCTATATGCTAACCCAATTTTCGCTTGAATAGATGCATAAAACCCCAACTATTCTATGATAGCAACTAAGATTATCTGCTCTATCAATTTAATTTACGTTCCAAAGTTCGATTATTTTATGATGAAGTGTATTCCATTAAATTCAGGTTAGGAGACTAACAAGTAGTTTATAAAACTGGAATGCCATGGAATTTTCTCTTCTTTTTTTTTCCTTTTAATTGTGTATATATATTATTTTATTGGAAATATGCCCCACGCCCCCTTATTTGCAAATACAGGAGTTATAATTAGATTTATTTTGATTCATATATGCTACTTCTGGTTTTTAAGATAAGAGCTAGTTTGATTTTCAATTTGTTTATAAATATAAGACATCAATCCATTTTGTCTCTCATATTTATTTAATTTTTTTAAAGATAATCATTGTAGTAATTGCACATGTTAAAAATTTAATCACATAGTAGTTTTAGTTAATACACATGATTAGCAAAAGTATTTTAAGAAAGATAATATCTATTTATTATAAATAAATAACTTAACTAGTTTTTTAATCTATTCAAATCAATTAACTAGCTCTTATATTAATTATTGGAGGTGATATTATTTATATATACCGACTAATAGCTAATACTAATATTTTAAAAGAATAAAATCCTCAAATTTGTCATGTTTAAGACAAACGATAAGGCTTTGTTTGGTTCAATGGAGGGGAGGGGATGGGATGTTAATTAATGAAAAATGTGAAAAAGCATGTTATTAATGAAAAATATTTCTCCCAAGAATATTCTACTCATATTTTGGCTTCGGAAGATTTGTGAACATTCATCGAAATGTATAATAATTTTTCGTCATCATTCATCCAATAAAAGAAACTCGCACAGCGGTCATGTTCATTGAGGGTAAAACACACAACTTCGTATTTAGGCAAAACTTAGAAGTATCAAGTATCAGATGGGCTAAATATTTTTAATAAAAGGATATCAAGTTTGACAGTTCTTATGACGAGTTTAATCCAATTCCTTCTTAACACATGTCAAATTAATAAAAAACATATGCCATATCATATGTGACAAGTAAGTCAATTAGCATAGACTTCTCACTTATTTAAACATATGGTCAAACTAAAAAGTAGAAGATGAATTCGACATAATTGGATATTTTAACTCGTTAAAATGACTAACATTCTATTCTATAAGGAAATCCATGTTAATTCCTTACAGCACAATTGTCGTTTTTTAGGCTTAGATCACTTAGTTCTCTTGTTTTACCCCAAACAAAACTACACGCATCCAACCTAAAAGAAACCAATGGTTAGACCCCGGGGGGGGGGGGAAGAGAGTAAAAGCAACAATAAATAATACAAACTCTTATTTTGATTTTAAATATTAAGATCCGCAAATGAGGTCTTATGATTAAGACTAGAGATAGTATAAGATTTCAATATATTTTATGATTTACATATTAAGTAGGTTTATATTAAGTGATGGTTTTAATGAATGTGATTAAACGTATTCTTCTGGTCTTATTTATAAGGCACTTCTATTATATTTCACACAGATAAAAAAAAATCTTAAAATGCATTAATTCTCTATTAAAATATAACAATTTTTCAACTTTACCCATATTTAATATATATACACCTTTTGAAAGAGATAACTACCTATACTATAATAAATGAAGACAAAATAGTATATTGATTACACTGAAAATTTAATGAAGTGATTTATAAATATGACAAAAAAAAATCTTTTTGCCTTATAAATAGGATCAGAAGAGTAACAATTTGAAGAAGTCAATGTATATTTGTTATAAATACTACCTCCGGTTCTTAATATAAGATCCTGTTTGACTTTTATTTTGATCCTAAATATAAGATCCCAATCCACTTTGTTTCTCATATTTACTCAATTTTTTTTCAAGATAATCCTTCTAATAATTATAGTTCTAGTTAATACGTTTGATTAGCAAGAATATTTTAGGAAAGACAACACCTATTTAGGACAAATAACTGACTCAACTTACTTTCTTAATCTCCTTAAATTAGTTAACTGGCTCTTATAATTAGGATCGGAGGTAATAACATACTTTATTAATTTTTTTAATAAATCCAAATTAATTATTTAGCTCACTTTAGACATGATGATTTATTATACGCTTTCGTATTATATATGTTCATAAAAGAAACGATAATTGGGCAACCTGCGAAAAGTAGGATGGAAAAACAAATACAAATTGGAGTCCTGCAAGTTTGAATAACGACAAAGCATACACACACATGTGTGTGTAAATATAATTTACCCTCATGGTCACTAAAATTTTGTCAAATTGCGTGATTTTCTGTTTTAAAGATTTATTTACATCCTTTGAAATTTGATGTCTTTCACTAAAACGCTATTAACAATACCAACTTGTTTCCCCTATCATATATGTTTCTTTAAGAAATGATACAAAAAATCCTCTTCAGTTTTTCATGTAGAAAACTAATATTCAGAATTAAAAATTTAATTAAACTGTTATTCGTAAAACATATGCGCTGAACTATCTATAATACTGTCTTTAATTATCTACATTGAATTTATAGAGAAACTTCCTTAATATATACGTGCAATTATATATTAAGAATAATTTAAAAATGATAAATTTTAGAAGCAAATTTAAATAGATTAAGATATTAGTATATTACATTAGAACTGAAATAAATCTTCTAAAATAGATTTAGTGAATTTTGGGATGAAAATAGCAGTATTTACACTTGAAGAGAGAAGAAATTTATGGAATGACCAATGACTAACGACTAATGAGTGAAGCGAAGGGGCGAGAGAGTAAAATAGGCAAAAAGATGTGGCCACTCGCATAAAATCTGGAGCGGCGCAGCGTCTCTCTCTTCCCTTTTCCGATAATCCCTGTGACATTGTTTTGTAATAATGCAAAATGCAAAAATGGATTTTGATTCAGAAACCCACCTTCAAACAAATCAATTCATCCACCATCTTCTCCATCTTCTTCCCTCCTCACCTTAATCCATAAAATCCTCTCTCACCCAATTCCTCTCTTCACCCTCACTGCTTTTTCCTTCCATTTTCTCACCCATTAAACAAGCCCCGTAAACCCTAGAAAACACTCCTGTCCTCCTCTCTCCCTCCCTTCTGCTACTGCATTTTTTCTCGTGCCAAGGGATCAGAACACGGCGGTAAGCGTCAATCTGAACTCCAAATTCAGTTAACTAACTGCACAGATCATACATATTGCTTTTGTGTTTAGTTTAATGGAGGATTTGAGGAGACCTCGTGTAGGGCTGTAGGCTATATATAGACTTAAAGATTGACAGCTAGAGAGAGGAGGAGAGAGACTAAACAAGCCTTTTTCCCCCTCTTGAGTATCTGAATGTAGAGAGGCAAACGAGACCATTTGGGAAATCAAGAAAAGGAAAAAGAAGAAGAAGAAGACATTTTTGTTCTTTTTCCTTTTACCTTCAATTCTTACCGCGAAGCTATAGCTACTTCATTTGCGTTTGAGCCTATCATACGAGCTCTGACTTGATCTGAAAATGTAATTTCTTTCAATAAGCTCAAGTTTATTTGCAGGCTTTTCCCTGATGATTTGTGTTTCCTTTGCTTCGTTGATAAACCATTAGGTAAACACAGATCTGTGAACTATGAGATCTGCCCCATAATCCTTCAAAGTAACGAACCTGAATCTGAACTCTATTCTATGGCAATATAAATGCTATTTTAAGGGCGGTGAAAGAAAACTATATAAATGCAATAGGAGCTTAAAGGGTTGGCTTAGATCGGCAAAACCATAAGCAAGTTTTGGTCTTTTTTGCCAGATAATAACAAACCAGAACGGCCCAGATCGGAGGTACGTCCGAGATAGAAGCGGTCAGTGTTCATCGCTAAGCATTTCATCTTTCTTTTCTTTAAAGCTGAGAGTCTTTAATAATCTACGCTGAGGTTTTCGTTTTCAAAGTACTAAGCTAAATAAATGCTGTCTGATCTTATCTGTTTTGTAATAACCAACAAAGGTGACTGAGAATGTGTACTTAGTTACTACTACGTATTAATTAAGCATATGATTTTTTTAATTTTGTTTTTTCTGTTATTTTTATTTATTTATTTAATTTTTTGTGGTTGTTGAGGGTGAAATGCTTTTGGTTTTTGCAGGAGCTGAGTCGTCTCTGAGACCTTCTGAGGCTTTGCTTTTGAAAGCGTTCTCTGCAACTGCAAAAAGCTTGAACGAGGGCCTCTCCTTCCTGACTTGGACTGTGATATATCGGAGCGTAAAAAAAGACCTTTTTATCACTACAAACCCAAGGTACTCTGAATTATCGTCATCAATGCAAAGGACACACCAACCCCACCTGCACTCACCCTCCAGCTTCTCTCTCTAAATTTCCCTTCTCCTCTCTCTTCTCTCTCTCTCTCTCTGAGCCTCTTCTAAAGTGTGAGGCTAGGAGGCAGGAGGGTTTTTCTACAGCTTGAGCTTCACAAAAGGCATGATTGTGGTATGGAGGAGGATGGGATTCAAGGGCAAGCGCGTAAATTCCCAAGAATTGAAAACGGGAGTGCAAGGAACGATTCCTCCAACAACAACAAGATAGGTTCCAATATTAACGAAGAGAATGGAGACCTCAGAAAAAGAAGTGGAGGAGGAGGAGGAGGAGGAGGAGGAGGAGGAGGAGGCAACGATGGAAGTAGCAACCGATTTCACGGTTGGCACCACCAGTCTTCTCGAATCATTAGGGTTTCTCGTGCCTCCGGCGGGAAAGATCGGCACAGCAAGGTCATGACTTCGAAGGGTTTAAGAGACCGAAGGGTTCGCCTCTCTGTGACCACAGCGATTCAATTCTACGACCTTCAAGATCGACTGGGTTATGACCAACCTAGCAAAGCCGTGGAATGGTTGATCAAAGCTGCTTCTGATGCAATTTCTGAGCTTCCTTCTCTGAAAAATACGTTCCCCGAGACCCCAAAGCAACCCAGCGATGAGAAGAGGGGAGGTGAGAAATGTATCGATTCAGCTGACGCAGAAGTAGATGGTGAAGCGAGTTTCCACCAGCAGAATCAGAATCAAAGTCAGAATCTTTCCTTGTCGAAGTCCGCTTGTAGCAGCACGTCGGAGACAAGCAAAGGTTCCGGCTTGTCTCTCTCCAGGTCGGAGATTCGAGTCAAGGCGCGTGAGAGGGCGAGGGAGAGAGCGGCGAAGGAGAAGGAGAAAGAGAATGATGAATCTTGCAATAACATTGCTCATCCCCAGAATAACAATGTCATCTCCATGGCTCAAACTTCTTTCACTGAGCTTCTCACTGGTGGGATAAATACTAGCGTTCCTGCGACTACTAGTCCCACCGGGTCGGGTCAGCAGAATCATAATCGGAGTGATGAGGCTGATCTGTTCAACAAAGGAGCTAGACATCAATGGAGTATGGCGCCTATGGACTACTTCGGGGCAGGGCTTCTGGGAGGTTCGTCGTCTTCAAGAACCCAGCATCATCAGTCTTCTGCGTTTGCAGGGCAGATCCAATTGGGGAACAATCTTCCTCAGACAATGTCGGTTGTACCATTCGGAGTCCAGAGTGAAAACCACTCAGATCAGCTTCAGCAATTCTCGTTCATCCCCGACCATCTTATGCCGGCGGTGGTCACGTCGTCGCAGACCCCAAGCGGCGGGGGGAGCGAGTACAATCTCAACTTTACCATCTCTTCGTCTTCTAATTCCGGCGGCCTTGCTGGTTTCAGTAGTAGGGGGACCCTTCAGTCCAATTCTCCGTCTCTTCTGCCTCACCATCTGCAGAGGTTCTCACCTTTAGACGGATCGTCCAACTTACCTCTCTTCATCGGAGCAAATGCAGCTCCAGCCATGGAGAATCACCACCACCACCACCATCACCAGTTCTCACCCGAATTAGACGGCCGCTTGCAACTCTTCTACGGCGACGGAAACCGGCATTCAGACCAGAAGGGAAAGGGGAAGAACTGAGTTCCGATCGACGACGCCCTATTTCTCGTGATCCATCGGCTTACCGGTAAGAAAAAATGATCATTTTTTTAATAAAATTTTCCACCATCCTTTTGTCTTCTCACTTCCGATTCACGTACAGTCAAATAGCTTGCATTGTAGATATTGTAATTATGATTATAATCCTTGTGTGGCTGCCTACTGTTCTTGTATAGCAGTTTACTTTGAACATACTTAAACCAACAGGAGTTTAGTTAACATTTTGAATATCATAACATAAATAAATAGGAGAGAGATCCTTTGAATTGGTGTATATGTTGAAGCTGGTGGCTCTTATATCCCAGATGGTAGCTTTCGCAGAGGGCGAAGGGGCGTGTGATGGGGCGAAGGTTGCTTTGTTGGGAACACTAAATAAAGAAACAATGGGTGGGTGTGGGTGAGGGTGTTGCGCTGAGGTTGTCGTGTGGATGATTCATGCGTGCGGTTATGGGAGACTAGGAATAGGTCATCGGCTGTGTGTCTCCTCGTTTGTGGTCTTGTTTGGTTCCCTTGTTGTGTAGCATCTCTAAGGTTATAAAGCTCTGAGGAATGAATGAATAAGTGAAATGGCGGATTTGTAGGTCATTCAGTTTGTGCAGTGTACAAGGTAAGGGAAGGCCTCCAGAATTACAAAGATATAGGAACGAAATAGGGTTTTACAATCCCAATTCGTTTTTCTCACTCCCAAGCCTCTCTCACATGACGCTGCTCGGCGCATTGTCTCCTTCTGCATGCCACTATGTGTGCCTTGTTTTTACTCGTAGGCTTTACTCTGTCACTACTTTAATTTTATATAGTAATAAATAGACATAAATTACATGGCTTTCTTTAAATTTGGTTAAATTAAATTACTCACACCCCTCGCCTATTCTTGAAAGTTACACCAACTTTCCGTAGTAAGAGGAGCCACCTCCATAAACTCTCCCTACATTCTCAGCCTATTATACCCTTATTTTCTTCCCATCTCCAAAAAAACTTTGTGTTTATTTTAAAATTTAAAATAAGCTTGTACGATTCTGACAAAATTTAATGGAATATTGCTTTTCGTTTTGGGGCAAGTCCATATCAGTCATAAACACAGATGTGAGGTGTATTGTATTTGTAACTGTGATTTGCACAAAATTCAAGAGGCAATGCATATAATATAATATAATATAATATATTCGAATAGAAATTAATTATATTATATGCACAAACGTGTCAGATTTTAGTTAAATAACAGGTTAGCTGAATACAGACACAGTGCGCGTGTCAGTGTACGCAAAATTTATTCTGTTATTATCTTTCGGCCAAATCTATTATAATCTGCAAGATTGGGTACATGGGCATATTCCAATATGATTTGTTCTGATTGGTTTAGAATTGAGAATTATAGTAATAGGCACGTAGGCTGACTTTGTCTCTCTGAGCATGAGAAGGGAAGGATTCTCAAACAGGTTAGGGCATGATTAGGAGGCACAAATATGTTTATGTACTATTATAGACAATACTATGTTAAAAAACCCTCCTAGTTTTTAAGGCAATTAGAGTAGGCTTAACTGTAACGCACTAGGTAATTGTATATAGTATTTATCTTTTCATCGCTTCTCTCAAGAAGCAGAACTTCTCGTAACTAATTATTAATACACCACTACATCGTGTAAATCGATCCAGCATATAAAATTGACCCAAAAACCCAAATGTTCGGATGCATATGATAGAAACTAACCGTTTTGATTATATTAGATCATTTATGGAACTAATGATGAAAATAGCAAATTTGCTGGTTTCTTTTTAGTAATTCTCTATGTGTATATGTTATTATGGGTTGAGGGTAGGCGAAAAACCCTTACTTCTAGTTGTGTAACTCATCTCAGGATCTCTACTTTAGGGCCTCTGCTGTTGCATAACGTTTGATTCGCCATGAAGCCATAAGTTTCATTTCTGGTTTATGATTCTGCTTTGCTTTACTCAGAAAGGCCGGTAAGAGTTTGTTGTCCATTTAACAGTATGTTGTGTCATATTGGACTAATTCCTACTATTAATACTGATGATTAAAGGATCGTTTTAAGAAACACTATAATAAAAGAGTCATTTTAAGGTTGAATAGACACCCTAACACCAACCATCCGGGAGGGAGACCATTCCCTGTCTTGTTGGAAGCTGAGATGAAAAGGATGAACGTACGTGGTGTAATTGTTATGCAAGAAAATTAACATTAACCGGACGTGTATGTATATAAAATACCGATAATATTGAAACAGGAGTGATGGTTTAACTTACATTTAAAAAAAAAAATTGTAACTTAAAAGTCTAGGTTTCGTTATGATTCATGTTGTTTCTGGTTTAGATAACTGACTTTTTACCACTCTAGGCAAACATGACCATAGATTTAGCTTGGGGAAAAAGTGCATATGATCCGTCAAAAATAGAGCGGCCAAGTTATTTACAAATCAATATGTGAATCAGTAAGGGATTTGATTCAATTTTCAAAAGAGTACTTCTAATTTTATTAATTCAGTATGCTAGTCATCACCCTTCAACTTAGATGTCAACTACCAGCACTGGTGCCAACTACCAAGCCAAATGAATAGGCCAAAGGTCTTTTTTTTTTTTGGGCAAAAAGTAGGATTAAAAATATTAAATTTCATTCAATTTATCGTTCAAGATCGAATAAAGATAATGGTGCAATTAAGGCTTCTTATATAATTTTCAACTTCTCTTTTGAATGCAAGTTGAACTAGAAGTTGGAGCAAATAACACGCACATTGTGCCTTGTTGTGAAGCTTGTGATTTTTTCTCCCCAAAAACAACTTTCTTTGCAAAGCATTGTATATAAACTTGTTCCAACTAGTAAACGATAATGTAATAAGGTATTTAGAGAGAGTGAGAGAGAGTGACACAAGATAACGTAATTGCGTTTTAGGTCCTTCACTCTCTAGTCTCTATAAGAGCCCTTGAAGTAAACATGCATCCCCCTTAATTAGCTTGTTATTGAATTCACATTCCCTTGTGATGTTAATATTTGGAAAGGAAGAGCTTTGGTCTTTTGATATTTACGTTGGACAATTTTATGCTTACATCATTGATCATATATATAAATATATATATATATGTATATGGTGCTGGAATTTGGATGTGGGAATATTAAAGAATAGGTTATGTTGTAGAATGTTGACAATTTGAGAGGGTCTTTGGTCAACTTCATAAGTTGAGAAAATTAAATTGCACTGTCCATCAAGATGGAGTGGGCCGCTTTTATTTTGCCATAAGTTCAAAAATGCTTGTTAAACAGATGATGTGCTAATTCAAGTAAGACTAATTAGGATTAAAATCATCCAACAAAGTGATATAAGCCTTCTGTTCTCAGATAGCCCTACTCCTAATATTGGTGATAAGGTTAAGGTTACTATGAACTCTACATTAGAGTGTAACAGATTTGTGTCCCATACTCAGCAACTGAATCATGAAAGTGACCTTGATAAAAGAAGAGGGCAGATTTATTTGGTAATCTTGTTGAAAAACACTGAATTGTCTGAGCTTGAACTCATTCTGTCTAGTACGAAAGTTTAGTTGAGCCGGGGCCTAGGGTTTATGAGGATTAGGGCAGGTTTTATGGTTTAAAAAGCGCTTCTAGAGATGCTTATAAATTACCACCAATTAGGTTCATGTTCATTTGCGGGGAAGATTTGAATTTTGAACCCATGCCCTTGTAGAGAGTATGAGAATGGTCCTTAAGTAGTAGAACAACATTCATTGGCACTTTATGAACTCCCTTCAGTCACTCATGTGCGGTGAATATTATAATAGCTAGAGAACCGCATTTGATTCTAATGCCGAAAGCCAAATCACCTTGTTAGGACATGAATTACTCTTCAATAATCTTCATGCTTACGCTGGAGTAAATAGCCACAATTTAACTGGTAATTATTGAGCTTCTTGAAGCTTGAAATCTTTAATACGATGGTTAACTATATCTGAAATGGAGTTTATGTCTTTCATGGAAGCGTTCTGTTTGTTGAATTCATTCCTAGTCCCTAGAAAGTGGTCTCTCACGGATGAAGTTTAGTAAATAGTGTCATCAAATGTACAGTGAACTTAGGTACTTGTCCACCTGAACAGGAATTACTTTTATTTAAGAAAGCTTCTATGCTGTATCCATGGCTTCTTTCATTCCTTGATGGTTGATTGAGATTAGTTCTTTAGATTTTCATGAACTGAGTTCTTAACTTCTATTTATTTTGCTGCTCATCTTAAAACATACAACTATCTATAACTTTCATGTTTTATCTAACTTCTGTAATCATATAGTGGCTGAAATTTCTCGTTCTCTAACTTACCCGATTACCTAAAATTGAACTATAATTGGATATCTGGTGTATGATACGCTTTATGAGAAATGTAACAAACATGTTGAAGTCTAAAATTCAGATTATACAACATTATTTTGTAATTGTCTTGCCATGCTTTCCCAATGTGGGTACTAAACAGGCCTGTGGGGTGTTCATTTTTTCTTTACCCCACTCTCATGTTTGTATGAAGGGTTAAAGTAAATCCAGTTATAAGCTGCATATATTAATTAAAATTTATTAGTCCTATCCCACTGGAGCTTGATTTCTGTGATATTTTCTTTGATATAGGACCAAAAGCTAGAGCAAGCTATGCGCCACAGCCTGTCTTTGGTTTGCTGCTGCCACATCGGATGGTACAATGTTGTCATCAAGTGTTGATATTCATACATTGGTCATTTTGAAGTATCATTCGCTTAAGTATTTGGATATAAATATATATTAATCTATGCGTGCTGCAAATCTTCCTGTGTTTCTGGAGAAATGTAAGAAACTTGAAGTTATTCTTTTTTGCTTTGTCCAATTACTTTGAGATTCTCTGTATGCCATTTGGCTGAGATCAGAGTGTGAATGAATCAGTCTCTAAAAAAAGCAAAACCTCTTGTGATTTTAAGACTGATTTCTCCTCTTAAGGCCAAAGCCTGAAACATATGTTTCCAGATTTTGTCATCCTATGAGAATATTTCTCAGCTATGCCATGTTACAAAAATTGTTGCACAACATACATTCTTCACTGTGAAATTGCTACATGCAAACTTGCATGATGACACAAAATGAAATGAAGCAGCGCCTAGGGATGTGCATATTTCAACGTTTGAAAACTTAGATAGCATGCCATAAAAAGAATAGTGGCTTGGGAAATTGGGTAATTACCTTCATTTTGATATTCCTATTTTGGAGCCAAAAAACAGACGAATTATTTGAAGACGTGATTCAATTTCAGCAGTTTCAACGCTTCAGAAAGAAGCGGCAATCTTTATGTACAATGCATGTGCTCACAAATCACAAGTTATAATCCCTAAAGTATTGGAGGTGTTCTTTCTTTATGCACAGAAAGGCAAAAAGAAGAAAAGAGAACATATAAAAGGTAAAGAGGGTTTTCTGAAGAAAAGAAAAGGCATAGCATAGGTGGGAATAGGACAAGCATAAATTTCGTTGAATTCAACAGTGCCTTTAATTCACAAGAGCAACATTTTCTAGTTGCCCTGTGCCTCTGCAGAAGTGTTGTGAAAAGCAACTGAGAGAAAATGATAGATCAGGCCAACTTTTGCTGGGAAAAAACAATAAAGTAATGGCCTTGAAATTTTTTTTTACAACTAAAGTTTTATTTTGTTTTATCATTAATGAGATTTTTTTTAATCTAAGTTCTTAACAAAATATCTCTTAAATTAATCATTCGTCAATAGAACATCTGTAAAAAGTATTTTATATAACATTATATATATTGATTTATTGTAAAAAGAATTCGTGATACAATTTTGTGTAATCAAACTGACAAGAAATTTTATTAACGACTAAAATAAAAAAAATAAAAAACTCAATCAAGAATGGAAAACTACACGTGGAGGACTAAAACGGACTTCATCAGCAGAATGGGTTTTTGTTTTTTGTTTTTTGGGTATAATGTGCCGAAAATGACAATTTAAAAGGAGGGAGAGAAAAGGAACAAATTTGAGCCATTTGTTAACGTTTATTCTTGTTTTTTTTTTTGGGGTGGGGTGGGGTAGCAAGTAGGCTGTTTGAAAGGAACAAATAATAATAACAATAATGGAACACAAATCTGTACCCTAAAAAAAAAAAAGGAACACAAATAATTTTAAATCAATTTCATCATATTTATGATATTTGGACCTGTCTTGCCATGAAAATTACTGGTTCATGCTTCTTAACTTATCCGGTAACATTGAGGTGCATGAATCTAAGAGCTTGCTTGAAAGTGACACTATTTGGCTCTTCCTTCGAACACACCATCACCATTACACGAATAATTCATATTCATGGAATTTTTCTTGTAGGTTTTAAGTATTATATGAATGTTATGTTTTTTGGGCGTTCGTGGGGGAGAGAGGGAGAGAGGGAGGGAGGTGCATGATGAATAATAAATGTTTAACGTACATAGATAGGCATGGTGAATCATAAGGTCACATCTCTTGAATTTGCTTTGCTGGATGAATGAGAAATACTTATATACGATCCTAATTACAAGACCTTATTTATAATCTACAAATAATTTCTTATAATTATAACCAGAGGTAGTATCATGTATATATGATTGGCCAATTTTTTTTTTTTAAAGTCACAATTAAATTTTTTTGCGTATTTTTCTTAAAAAATAAACTCTATATATATATAAGCTTATCATATCTGACCAAAAAAAAGCTTATCATATTGGATTTAGAATGTAAATAATTCATAGATTTTTTTTTTGGGAAAAAATAACTCCAACAGCAAAAGATTCATTCTTTCTTCATTGAGCAACCATAAACATGATCCAGCTCAGCCTGTTTGATTCTGTTTAGAATGGAAAGTTATCTCGGCTGTGTTGAAAATGACGGCTTCAAATTTTTAAACACAAGCCTTCCCTTCAACTTTCTGATGTTTTTTTCCAACTGCGTAAATGTTCCACACTTTTATCTTAATCCTATTTAGAAAGAGATATATATTTCATCTCTATCTCACCAAACCAGCCTTCAGACGCTATTTTAATTCCTGTATACATCATTCCTGGGATTATGTTTATCCAGAATTTGTAATCCCCTATGGCTGGCTTCTTATTACACAAATCACATACTTCCACCATGGATGGCTTTGCGTAAATAGACAGAGGTACTGAGAATTCTACACAACTATCACTATCATTACACTAACAAATTGTTCACACGAATAAATGAAATCTTATGGGCAATTATAAGTGCAACAGCTTCTATTAAAGTCCCCTCACCTACGCCTTGGCCCTTGGGGACCACCCTAACCAAAATAAAAGCCACCAAGCTGGCGCTTTGCACACTACATGAAGTAATGAGCAACCCAATCCATAATGTTGTCAATCTATAAGCTTTAAATGATAAAAATAAGTCAATTCAGTAACCCAAAGCCAACAATCAATTTGACTAATCTTCTCCTTTTGAGAAATTTTAGACAGATGGTTCAGCACATCTTCCGCTCAAACAAGATCTTGGATTTATGCACTGCTAATGAAATTTTTTTTTTCTTGACAGTGGAAGTGTTTTACACTAATACGGCATAATCCAATTCAATTTGGATCAGTTGGAGCCCACTATATCTTCAAGAAACTGATTCTGATATTTGAGGGCAAAAAATAATTCAGGGTTGTTTGCAATCATAGTTTTCCAAACCAGAAAGTCAATATTTTGATGTATTTATTTTTGAATGAATATGAAACCACACAAAATCAACAACAAAAGCAACAGAAAATCCATTTAGACCCAACAGTCACATGCTATTGGACTTGCAAATTAAGATTATGGGGCTGTCAATCTGATGCAGAATTAAGCTGCTTAAGTAATAGGCTTTGAATCTTCTTTAGGATTAAAATATTATATGCACTAAGCCCTTAGGGGAGAATCAACCCTTCAGATCATTCCAAGGCAGAGAGCATCTCCGATTATAGAAGGAAAGAGAATCTAATTGCAGATATATGGGCCAGGGATTTAATACACCTTCATCTGCTTTTTTACATCTATTTCTATGCTCGAAACCCGAGCAAGTTCTTTTGACCAGTACGGATGAAGCAAATCGCATTGCTCATTCAACTTTAGATGTATATTTCACAAGGGACACCAAAAATAATACCTAGAATATTCACAGATGGATGACTGGAAGAGTAAATGACTACAAGCTCAAAGCTTTTACAGGATCATCTAGTTGTATGTGTGCCATAACTCTTACACGCATTACCTCTAAAAACAACCAGCAAAATGCATTTAGTCATCAGTTCAGACAAACAGAGGCGAATGACACCAGCCGCATTACAAGACATTCAACCCTAGGATGAACTTTCAGAGGTAGAAAAGAGTATGATCAGGCAAGGGACCTGCCTCCACTCTACTCCATAGATGCTGACCTTTTTAATTCCTTCAGTCATGAACTTCCAAGTTCCCCTCTTCATTCACTGAAAATAAAATCCATTTCTGAAAGAGTAAATAAGAGTAGTAAAACTTCCTTTAACCAAAAAATAAAAATAGGCTAATGCCAAATTAAAAATCCCAATAAATAAATAAGGAAAGCATCAGTTCATCACAATCAGATGATGCTATTATTCCAGGGAAATCATTTCCAGATCTGCGGCACTAATTCTGAGTAAGCTAGCATAACTATATACAGCAGACAATAGAATACACTTCATACATCCTTTTCACATGTTGAACGACAGAAGCTTGCCAAAGTTATGTTTCCTCATTATCCCACTTCTAAAGCAATAAACAAAAGATATTAAACTAGCCTATCACTCTCAAGCAATCAACAAACAACTGATGAGGTAAAAAAGTGAGACGTCCCCTATATCGTTATCTCTATTATAGAATCAAGTAACTATATCTAAACATAGCAGAACCCTATGGCAAAGGCGCCTTTCAAGCATGGGGTTCCAGCAGAGTCAAATAGCAAGTGAAAAACAGTCACATATTTCTTCAACTGGCATTTCTTTAGCTATATATTATAAAGGTTGAATAGGAAACACAAAACTTGCACAGTAAGCGAAGAATAAAATTTACCTTCTATCCTATTACTCGAATTAGAAGGAGTTCATCTCGAGACAGTAAGTCCTCCTCTTCACCAGCATCCTCACAGCAGTCCCATAAGGCTCTTCAAATGCTGTTGAAACCCAAGACAAATCAGACATTTCCTTCTTCCCCATGGGGGATGGCTCACTTGGCCTAATTGCAACAAGAGTTGCGCCCTTCAAAACAACCCCATTTGGCAATTCTATGTAGGGTGCGTACCAAAGCCTCATACTGAGGGCAGGAACAAGAGTCCTCTTTGATGCTGAAGAAGCTGAAAGAGGCTTCACCCTCAGCTCCTCCAACTGATCCCTATCCATGTATAACACACCCTGCCCATCCGCATCTGTCAAAACTAAATTGTCTAATGTTCTATGCTCTGAAATGATTGGCTGCAGCAAGTAGTGCCTTGCTGAAGCAGCAATCAAAGAGCTGATTGTCCAAACAACTCTAAGTTTCAGACCCCCGTTTGTGTAAAAAGAATCAGGTATGCTTCCATTGTCATCACCGCCATAGTTGACGCATAAGGCATCAGAATTCCCATCCTGAGAATTCAAAGACTTTCTTGGGTGAATGACCGAAGAAGCGCCTAAGATTACACAATTATCCAAAGTTGACCCAAAATCAGCTCTCCATTTTAACAAAACCCCGTCATCTATTCCTAATTCCCCACTGGGTAGCTCGATTCGAAGAAACCGAATCTCGTTGAAATTCTTCAAAACTTGAGTAGGGGAGTGATGGGTCACACCGCCTTGCTGGCCTTCCACGTCTTCACTCCCAACAGCAAGCGAGGATGACGAAGACGAAGAACCTGAACTCACAGAAGCCCTTCTGGGCCCTAACAACTGACCCAGAGCTTGAAGGGGCTTCACAATCCCACCAAACACTACCCTAAATAGATAAGAGAAGGGGCCGCGAGATTTGTCTGACGAGGCCGCAGAAGAAGAGGAATCGTCGTCGGATATAACACAGTCCACACGAACGACGACGTTTTCAACCTGGGGCACTAGAAAGTGGAATCGCCGGGAAACCACACAACACCGACCTAGGGCCTTGACATCGCCGATCCTGTTGAAGACGAGGAGAAGCAGAGAATCTGGGAGGCGATCGAAATGATCAATTTCGACCACATCCGGCTCCGGGTGAATTCTGGAGGTCGGATCTGGACGAAGGGAGGACATTGTAGAGATTAAAACGACAGATTGTTCAAAAGACGAATTGGGAAATATAGCCGAGATCAAGCTCAGAAATTTCGACGGTGTAAGGGCATGGGGCTCGGAAGGATGTCTGAAAGGAGTGGGTTGGAAGCAGATCTACATGGTATTAAATTGAGCAGGGGAGAGATGGCAAAATAGGGAAAATCAGAATGTGAAGAGGAAAATGAGCAGAAAGAAGAATGGAAATGGTGGGGATTGTGGTAGAGTCACGGTTTGTCCTTAGAGAGAGATTGTGCGTTCGTGAGGGAAAAAGATGCGTCCGTTGTGCATTTGTGTCTGTGTTTACAGGAAACTACTTTGCTTTTTCCTCCTAGTTATTCCTTTCCTTGTGAGTTTGTGATTAATATTTACTAGATATGTATTTACTGTTTACTGATTTTTTTTTTTGAGCTGAGACTGTTTACTGATTTAATAGAGGCAGATACAGAGAAAAATTATCTACATTTATATGCAATTGCACGGAATTTTAAGTTCTAATCTGTATCTTTTTTATTTTATTTTATGAATTATATACTCAGTCCGTTCTGTACGTGATAAAATACAATTATCTACATTATATAGAAAAAATTTTGGTGTTAGAATATAAGTCATATGTCGGGTATTTTTTAATCATTTTTCAGTTTTGCTTTTATTTAATTCTCGTAAAAAAGAAGGAAAGAAAAGTGAAATATAAGAATGATTTGTAAATACAGAGAAATTTTTTTCACAAGAATGTATTCCTCTGATCTTATTTATAAGATATTTTTAGTATATTTCATGTACATTAAGAAAAACCTTAAAATATATTAATTTGCTATTAAAATATAATAATCTTTTAACTTTATCTCTATTTAATATATACACTTTAAAAAAATTTAGCTTACCTTATAGTAAATGAAAGACAAAATAATACACTCATACTAAAAATTTAATGAAGTAACTTATAAATAGGACTAAAAAAAAATATTTTTTCTTTGCCTTATAAATAGGGTCAGAGGAATATTTAAAAAAAACTTGTCTCTTTAATGTGTTTTTTAGTACTACCTATAATTCTAATTATAAGAGCTAGTTGACTAATTTGAGAAGATTAAGAAAATAAATTAGTTATTTAAAATTTTATTATTTTTTCCTTTTTAGCAAAAATTATTTCTTCGAATAGCCAAAGCAAAGAGTAAAAGTGAAAATAAGTTAGGTTAGGCTTCCACTCAATTGATATCTCCTTCAAACTTCGGAGAATAATTAGCATTTGAGCTACAATAATGTTAGGGTGAAATCCAAGGAATTGGTGAAATCCCTTCACCCATCTTTCACTTGAATCCACAGAACTGTCAATGTCCAGTCTAACCCCCCCCCCCCCCCATGAAGTGGGGAAGAACTACTTGGCATGCTTAGCTCTGTGTCTGCCCACCAACATGTTCATCCTTACCTCCTAATTTAGAACATTATATTGATTGATTATGGTTTTGGATGCTGATCATGAAACAGATATGTCCCCTTATTGGATCCTTCATCAGATGAGCATATAATTCCCCCATCCAGCTTCCCCCTGTGTGTGTGTGTTCCATCAAATTTGCGCCAAAAAGTCCCTGCCAAGTAATTTTCCTTATACTTTGGCTTCCTGCTTCGTTCTTAGCGTTCCACAAAATCCAATCCTGCGTATCACCAAAATTAAAAAAAAAAAAAACCAATAAGTGTTGATCCAAGTGAAAGAAATTTGGGCACTTTAAACATCTTATTCTGGGTTCGATCTCTGAGGTGGTGTAAATAGAAAAACACTGTTAGAAGGGATCCCCGCTACAGCGCTTGATAGTACCTCGAGAGATTAGTATCTTATCGTTCGAATAGGAAGATACTCTGGGCAACTAAAAATAAAAAAAATAAAAAAATCCAATCCTGTAAGGGCAGAGCAAAATAAAATATATTTCATTTGGAATGGTTGACTAGGAAAATATTGCCCCTAATTCCAACTGAGTTTACATTACTTTTCTACAAACACTTATTCCTTAAATTTACTTTTCTCCGTAAAATACTCTTTCTCAATTATAATCTTTGAACGACTAACCTTATAAAAAGGGGATCAGAGTTCCTTCCCCGCCTTACATAATCACCAATGATAAGTTTTCTTAATAAAATATAATGACTAATATATAATCGTTACTTTTTACAACTTAATGCTTCTAAGAAATGAGTTTTACGGCACACTTTATCAGTAAACTTGATGAAAGGATCATAAGAAATTACACGTAATTAAATTTAATCCTTCAGCGAATAAAACTGAGTTATGATGATTAAGCATAAAGTGGCGGCAGTTGTACATTTGCACCCCTTAATCAACTTTAGGGGTAATAATATTATGAAGGAAGACATGGAATCTTAAACTTTACTAAAGACACAATCTTTGGAGGCCATTTCAATTCTTTTTTCTCACCCATGATTAAACAAATTATCTTTAATTATCTTCTTGCTAGAATCATGAATCTTCTGTAGAGAGCAACTTTGAATCTCTTTTCTTTTCTTTTCTTTTTTGTGGATTAAAAGCTCGTATGCTTCACTTTTATTTTATGTGTCTTTATTGCCAAGTTATGCAAGACATGTTTTAGATTTGTAATGATGAGCTGGTTTTGAATTATATTTTGATTCCAAACTGATTAGTTTCTAATACACCCTGTTAAGATCTTCATGATGTGATCTTTTTATTATGATTAATAAATTATGGCCGTCCAACAGCAAATATTTTTTTAATAAAAATTATATTTAATTAATCGAATAGTTTTTGTATTTATTTTTTGGCCGATGAACTTATCATTCTAATGAAATGCATTGGGCTACATATCATGAATCACAAACTTCCTTGTGGAGCTTATTTATTTAAACTTTAAATAAGTAATTTATAGATAATTTAAAGATTTATTTGAACTTGAATTCAGAAAGAGATAAATCTCATGAAAGCTAATAAGAAAGTTTGAATTCCAATCATTATCCTTATTTCACCTCACCAATTCCCTTATTACATAACTTCAGAAGGCTAATTATTTTGATTTTAAAAAAAAACACTTTTAGTTAAAGTATTGAATGAAATATTTAATATACAGACATTAATTATATTCTCCATTATATATAAAGTATTAAAAATTAGATATTAATCATATTACTACCTCCGGTTCTTAATATAAGATTTTATTTGACTTTTATTCTGGTTCTAATATAAGAACCCAATCTATTTTGTCTATCATATTTATGCATTTTCTTTCCAAAGTAGTCCTTCTAACAATGATATTTCTAACCAATATACTTGATTAGCAAGGATATTTAGGAAATATAACACATTTATTACAAATAACGAACTTAACTTCTTTCCTTAATCTTCTTAAATTAGTCAATTAGCTATTATAATTAGGAACGGAGGTAGTATAATGGAAAAATCTATTTACTTAAAAAAGTTTATAAGTTTAGTTTATATATATATATATATATATAAAACAATGTTATGCAATATTATAATCAGATCAATGGGTTGGAATGATTGAAATACAAGAGTATGAGTTGGCTGCGTATCTTTCTTTGAATAATAGAATAAATAAAATTGTCATACAAAATTAATTCAGAAACAAAGGGGAAATAAATAATTGTGGGGAAAAATTTGACCAATTCCTTTGGGCAGGAAGATCGATCTGTCCTATTAATTCAAAAATTATAAAGTTTTTTTGAAATCCTACTCTTAGGTAGTATTAATTTTGCACCTTATATAAAGTCTAATATCAAACTGAACAATGCTTGATTTAATAATGAATGGATATGAATTATATAAGATATCAAAAAGATTTATAATAATTCCAAAATAAAATTAAAATAGAAGGTGTAATTGTGTATGACCAATAATGGGCACATGAAATTCTGATAATGGGGATTTAGATCCAACAAATCACAAACTTTTATGTAAGTTCACACAGGTCGTCACAGTGTGGCCTGCATGTGGGCATTAAATGGCCATATTATTTTGTTCCTAAAGAAATGAGATAATAATATTCGGATAAAAATTAGATTATAAAATAAATATATATCCGTACTTATAGCGAAGTACATACCCAACATTTGAGGAAGACGCAGCCGCATTAACGGGGGCGCTTAGCACTTTTTAAAGCTATCATTTTCAGATTTTATAAAACAATTTTTTTATATATTTATCTCCTACAGTATAAAAATATTTTTTTAAAACTAATGCAGAAAGTAGTACCACCAAGGATGAGTACTTTCTGAATCAGGCTTTGTTTAAAAAGTTAAAAACTAAATTTTACCCCACCTGTAATATTAATAATAAACAATTTATCCTTGAGCAGCTCATGAAGTGTGGAGCATGCACGTTTTTTAAGTAGAAAACACAAATTAACCATCAATTTGCAGTATTTCAATATTTAAAAACCATTCGAAAATAATAAAGTCTCTGCCAACAAGTTTACTTTTTATTCTTGCATAAATATGCTGCTCTTTATTAAAGCCCCGGAAAACTGGAACTCTATCTCTCATAATTATATCGAACTGTACCATAAACGACGTAGGTGAGAAATTAAAAGTCGACAAAGAGCTTAGATATAGTTGGAAATGTAGATGCAGCATTGAATACAAAAATTTATGAAGGGACGCTGCCATTCCTCTTTAAAGAGAAGAAACGACAAGATGACACCAAAACAACAACAGTAATGATGCTACCTGCCAAAAAGAAGGTATCTTCAGAAACATTTCAAATGCGATTGGATGATCAATCATTTTCTCTGCATATTTCTCCAGAAAGAAAGAACCACACACAAGTCCAACGCATTTCTTAACTCTTAAAGGAAACTTGTTGGTCAGGCTCTTGTATGGATTATCCTATCCAGTTCCAGTGCTTGATTCAACCAGAAAAATTAAAAACCATAAAACCAAGTTGACCATCCGTCATAAGCAACTGAGATGACATGGATCAAAATCCCAAAATTTATTCTCAATAGCACACATTAGTAGCATATATAATACTCCCTATCCTAGATATAGAAACTAATTGAGGAGTTTGATAATTAATGCAGTAAAATAACAAGTACTAGTAAACAATAAGAGTAAAAATGAAAAAATAGAGCTAAAATTTTAAACATTCTGAGTATATCTTATAAATAGGACCATGCACATAAAAAAGCTACATGTTTTATACATTGGAGGGAGTATGGCAAAAGTGCAAAACCCAAAAGTTGGCCGGTTGAAAAAAAAAAAAAAAAGTTGCAGTACAATAGACAGGCCTGTGACCTTGTATAAGAAACTGTTCGAACATAAATT